GGCCGATTCCGGATTTAAAACACTAGTGGCCTATTTTGGATTTTGGACCCTAGTGGCCGATTTTGGATTTTTGACACTAGTGGCCGATTTTGGATTTTGGCTTTTGGACTCTAATGGCCGATTCTGGATTTTGGATACTCATGGCCGATTTTGGATTTTGGACCCGAGTGGCCTATTTTTTTTTATTTTGGACCCTAGTGGCTGATTTTGGATTTTGGACACTCGTGGAAAATTTTGGAATTTGGATTTTGAAGATTAGACCCTAGTGGCGATTTTGAAGATTAGACCCTAGTGGCCGATTTTGGATTTTGGATACAAGTTGCCGAATTTAGATTTGGACATTAGGGTCCAAATTTGGAATTTGGACACTTGTGGCCGATTTTGTATTTTGGACACGAGAGTCGAAATTTTTAATTTGAACGGTAGCGGTCTGACGATAGGTTTTCGCGCCCAAACTGGAAAACTGAATCTTCGCGGACGGAACAATAACAACTTGGGGAAATAACTCGGTAGAGACAACTCGGCAGCGAGAACGGAAACTCGTCACGATTTCCTGGTACACGGAGATCTACTTCGAGCGAGCTTATACGGACGTCAAGGATAAGACAATCTTTGGTTCCACAGTACTTTTATTCTAGGTCAGGCCAACAAGCGACATGACCTCTAGCATACTCTAGTTTGTAATCATCAAAGCTGTACAAGGTACTTGCTTAAGAACTAACTGGTGTGAGGTGCTATTGTTACACAGATCGTAATATTTGAATAAGGACACAAAGGAGCGGAAAAAAGTCTCTTTGAAGTTAAACGAAAACTACTTAAATATTCCATCTGTTTCTACGACGGAAAGAATCTCAAAATTAAAAAGACGGATGCAATAAACTCGAGGCCATTAACGTAGGAAACTTAGGTGCGAATTTACATCTCTGATATAGAAAACAATACCTATACCCAATCAAAAGCTTCTGCTTATTTATGCAAGGTTGGTTTGGAAACCATCGTGTTTATTTTTCATCTTTCATCGTGTTGATTTTGTTCTCATCTGTGAGGAGTTACTGGCACTAATAAATGAGACATTTTCTGTATTAGACCGCTGGCAAACTTCTCGGTGGCCCGCATGCTTAAGGCTTCAGACGTTCCCTCGGGCCCGGGCGATCCAACGCTAGGACCGAAGTGCTAGCAATGAGGACATGCTCAGCTCACAGCTTTGCGACCACATTTATCTGTATGAAATTGTCATAACTGCAGCCCATGAAGAAGAAGCTAACAGCAGCAGGTTTAGGACTGAAGAGGGCACATGAATAGGGGTTCACATTCTCAATCTCTTCTGTTACCAAGTTTTTTTGATAAATTCTATTTATATGCAGGTTCTGAAATTTTGTGATTCATCAAATTTAACCAAGGCATTCTTACTTTCTGAAAAGTTATCGTTACTTATTTGTACAGGAAATGCTAAAAATGTCTAGAAAAGCTGGCTCGCATTGCTCATGCCAAGGCCTCATACTTTTCCTCAGGCGATGCAACGCTAGTACCGAAGTGATAGTAATGAGGACGTGCTCGCAAATTAGTGACTTCATTTTACTGAATTTTTTTTAATCTACCTGAGTGGTAGGGGTTACAGATTTCCAGCCGATAAGCTGAAAAGAGATAATGAAATTATGTATACGGGCATTGTTAAATCAGAGCGGCCTCTTCCAGCTCCCCGCTGCTAAGGCATTGGAATTATGAATAATAGGAACATTCTTTAGTCCCACTCTCATACGATAACGACAACGACAGTTACGACGGGGAAGATTACGATCATGGAAATTGCAATATTTGTGGGTTGTAGTTTTAGTGTTTTAGTGACTATTGGCGACTTAGTGACTACTACCCCCTTAGTCCCATTCCCTCGCGGCCTTGGCCTTCCATCGGGTTGCTCTTTAATCAAGAGCCTGGGATATAGACAAATTGTTTAGCTCAAGAACTGAGTTAAGTCCGTATACTTACAATTGTACTTTGTCAAGAGATCACAAATAAGTTTACAGTATATGCTTCATTATAAACATTCCATTTCAGATCAGAGAAATAACCTTGGCCAAGGCTAACCAATCAGACTGGAAAATGTTATTCTTTTTCCGGTGACCATAAAATATTTATTATGTCTGATTCAAAACAAGTTATTTCCCATCTCTCTGACCTTTGCTGTTTACATCTGCCAAAATGGGAAAAAAAACCTCATGAAATAGTACATTCTCGAAATCTCTGTTCGCGTATTTCTTTTCTATTACATTCAAATGAAAAGGCTTGACAACGTATTTCCGATGGTCAATTGTGTAGAATACTCTCACAATCGGACGAAAGAATATTAGTATGCTTTTTCTTGCCCTTACGTCATCTAAGCTTTATTGTCACACAATAGAAATAATGACTTTTAAAAATATCCCGTTACGGACTTGTACACTTCATAGGGTGCCTAGGCATGCCCTACTGAACATGTTTGTCAGCTCATCAAAATGTTTTTGGTTTTGTCACCAATATCAAAAACATTAGATGTAATTAGATGGAATTGGGCGTCTGAATAGGGCACAATTTAAGTAATTAAACTGTCCAGAACTTAGACAGAGTAATATTGCATTTATGAACTTAACTCTTGCGCGGTTTTATCCTCAAGGAAATTTGTCTTTGGATATTTGGGTGGAGTGGGGGCGAATATGTTATTACAAGCGCACGCCGTGTATTTTTCTCACGCCCACCTATAAGGGTCGATGTCCCGGATATGAGATTCAGTCTGAAGACTATTTACAGCTGAATTGCTCTCTATTAGCTCTACTCAAGTTCGGACCTGGAAGTTACCTCGCTGAAAAGCTCATCAAAAAGGTGAAGTCGCTGGTATGCTTGTCATTTCCGAATCGCTGTAACGCCACATTGCTTTACTGCAATTTCCTGGCAGACTTTTCTCCGGGATTTTGAGCGAATTCCTTCTTAGCGTTTTGTCAACAGCGATAGTTGACACCCTCGATTTTCATGCCTGCACACTGTGATATGTTTGCTATAGTTTTCAACGTATTTGCTTTGCAAGTTTGTACACTTTTGAGCGAGCCATTGTCGTCGAATTGCGATGTTTATGCTGCTTTTATTTGTGGGAATGGTCTAAGTCGGCTGGTTTCGAGTCGCAGCCATCCTTTTGAATTTTTAATCACTGGAAAACGGAACTTAAGCCTATATGCAAAGCACAGAAGCGTTTATATTTGTAAAGACACCTTTTTAGTGAGTATCGATGTATTTGTTGTATAGGAAATTTCCCGTATGAATTCTTAATTCGCTAATTCACGGCTTA